ACTTGTAACGGCTAACAGTGCTCAACTAACAACCTCTGGAGAACTCTCATTCTCCACAGATGAGGAGACTGAAGGGAAGAGAGAGGAACTGTTGCCTAAGGCCACACCACTGGTAAAAATGCACTGGGGTTAGGACCCGAGGAATCTGGCTCCAAAGCCTATGCTTTGAACACCACTCTGATAGTGAAGAAAAATAACATCTCATACTGAATTATACATTAAATGCCATTCCAGTAATCAACTCAACCAACACAAAAGCCTTGCTTGCTTAACTGACTGAATTCCAGCTCTTGGGAGGTCCAGAAATTTCTATTACATAGCAATTAATGGAAGAACTTACTTAGAAAGGAAGCATTCTGCACTGGACAGACACTAACCCTCACATTCTTTTTGTGTATTTATTTGTTTGAGACAGAGTCCCCCAGGGTACCAGGCTTGCCTCACATTGATTGTGTAGCCTCTGCTGGCCCTGAACCCCTTTTCCCTGACCTCCCAAGTGCTGAGACCCAGTGCATTCTCGCAGAGCCTCTTCCACCCTCAAGAGATGCACTTGAAGGCATGACCATGCCATGCTGCTGCGCGGACAGCGTACCTGCCCATGCAGCTTGGACTCCAGCACCAGGCCCCACAGGTCCGCTATGGTGGTGGCGTGGCCCTGCTCTGCCCGATGTGCCAGTGCCTGGTGGTAGCTTGCCAATTGTTCCGGGAAGAACCCCCTCCACAGGCTCTTAGCCACATGCTCCCTGGCATGGCGGATGGGTCCGTCGAGGTCCTTCTGTGACCACTCTGGGTCCTGGTACAGGTGGGCCATTGTCCTGGGGTCACAAGGAGAAAAAAGCTAGGGTCCAACACAGGCTCTGACATCCCACCCTGTGTCTAATCCCTAAAGGGGGGATTGTCGAGGCTCCCACTGCCTAGAAAGTCCATCTGGACACGTGCCTTGGGACTTCCTTCGGGTCCTGGGCTGTCCAGGATGGGTATGAAATGGGCCTTGTATAGGTTTGTTGTGGTTTGGGTTTTGTTTGCAGGGCTGAAGCCCGGCCTAGGGCCTCTTGTGTGCTCTCGGGAACTTCAACGGTGACCCCACTTCCAGCCCATCTGTAATTTAGTCTCTCAGTCACTACTTTAGAAAGTCGGCAGGAAACCAGTAAAAATGGCTTCAGTAATTTATGTTGTTGAACTCAGTAACAGCAATAGCCAGCTGTGGGCCTAGAAAGGAAACATCCTCTCCTTCCCTCTTCTTTCCTCTGAGGGAGCACCTACCCTGCCCCATGGGCCTGCTTCTTCTCAGAGCTGCCCCCCCCCATGCTGCTGTCTGCCTGTCTATAATTTGTCTTATGATCTCTCACCCCAAAACGACAGTCCCCCTCAGGGCTCCCCTTGAACTCCAAACCTGAAAACTTCCACCTATGTGTGGCTATTATATTCGACAGTACCAGTCCCTACCCCTACCCCCCCATGGGCCTGTCCTGAGGCCATTTAAGACTGTCCTTGTCAATAGCTGTCACTCAGACTTTCATCCTTCCTTTACTCCCTAATGTCGTGTGTCAAGGAGACTCGAATGAATGAATCTGTACTAGTGAAATGGTCCAGTGCATTGTAGTGGGGACAGGCTGGAGAATGGGCATTGTTATCTTTGTGTAAAGAACATTCTTTCTTTGTATTTCTCTTTTTCCTTTTCTGCCCCCTTATTGTTTAGACAAGATCTCAGCTGGAACTCACGCCAATCCTCCTGCCTCAGTCTTCCGAGTGCTAGGATTACAGGCATGGTTACCATGCCCAGCTTAGTATAAAAGAATTTTTTTTTTACCTTAATTCCTTACCTGTACTATATAAGCAAGAAGGGAAGCTCCCTGAGAAAGTGGTGTAAGCCCCAAGCATCAACTTGAGGCCAGCTGGTGGCCCTGGTGTGTGTGTGTCCACCTTAGGCCACTGCCTGCATGGGCTGCCTCTTGTCAACCTATGAGTGTGTCTCTTATTACACAGGTTTGGGAGATGAACCAACAGAGAGCCAGAGAAATTGTTCACGGTCACCCGAGCCTGCAAATAGCCTGCCAAAAGCAAATCCAGCCTCCTCTGGGCCCTCTCCTTCCTGTCCCTAGTACCTAGGAAAAGTCCTCTGGCCTCACTGTGGTCCTGGCGGGACTTCCGGTTAAGTCTGTTTCTTCCTTGTGAGAAACTGTCAGGTTACACTGCTCTATCCACACGGGATCCCCATACAAAGGCCCCTTGGCCTCCACTCTGCCCTACTGTGGGCTCCGATCATCGCCGCTGTTCCAGTTTCTGTGACCCTTACCACGTAGAGCCTGAGACGCCACTGAAATAGGTCACACAGTCCAGGAGGCCCAACTTCTGAAGCGCCAATAGGTGGCCATAGAGTGAGATCATAGCCCGGACACCTCCTCCTTCAGCCATGATGCCCACAACAGGGACCTGGACCACACAGAGATGATGCAGACCAGCTCAACAAGAAGGGAATGAGCCGTCCTCTGCCTCACTCAGGGACCCAGCCTGTTTCCTGCCTCCAGGCAGCGGCCTTGCAGTTAGAGCCTGAGGGAGTTAGAGGTTTGAGGGACAGCCCTCAGCCCAGAGCCCCCACAGAGAACAGGAACCCCGCCCTCCCCAACAGTCAAACTCCATTCTTTGGAGGCCGAGAGGGCACAGGTCAGCACCAAATTTCTAGACCCACATCCCTGCTGCACCCCCAAACCTCATCTTCCTTCAAGTCTTGGTCCAGCTGCAGGGCCTGTTTCAGGGCGGCAGCTACCACCTGCTTCCTCCTGCCCAGGAAGGCCTGCTCCTCGGGACAGAGTCCATAGCCCAGCCGCACAGCCAGCTCCTTAGGGCTGAGATGGTGGAGAGTCCCAGGGTTAGGAGAAAACTGCATGGCTCACTCCTTGGGTCACCGAGCGAGCCCATGGCGAGCTTCTGAAAAAATCTCCCTCTCTACCTGCAGGAAGCATCCATTGCACAGCACCACCCCGCCCCTTGTCCCCACAGAGGCCGGCATCCTTACCAGTAGTCTGTCTTAAGCTGAAGCTTCACTTCTGGGCCCTGAAATCAAAGCAAGAGACTCTGTTCAGAGTATCCTAGACCCTACGGGAGACAGGTCTCTCTGGGGTGAGTGAGCACCTCCATTCCGTCCCTACTGGCACCTTCCCTCCAGCCGAGGCCTACTCACATTAGTAGCAGGAATGTCTACAGTCACCTCCTTCCCTGTGGTCAAGGACTTCAGGGGTACATTGAGGGGTACAGCTGAGGTGTGGGAGGTCCAGCCATTGTTTCCAGAGCTCTGAAGGGAAGCATTCATCCATTCATTAATTAATTCATTCATTCAACAAATTCTGAATGTCTAAACCGCAAACAGGACAGCCCTTCCCTGATAATACAAAACAAATTATAATTGCAAATAATGATGGCTGAGACTACTTGCAAAGACACTGTTCTCACGAAATCGCATGTGTCAATTTGTGAAGAAATGGGCCATGCCTGGGAGTGGTGACGCACGCCTTTAATCCCAGCGCTTGGGAGGCAGAGGCAGGCGGATCTCTGAGTTTGAGGCCAGCCTGGTCTACAGAGTCAGTTCCAAACCAGCCATGCTACTAGAAGTAAGACTCTGTCTAAAAATAGTTTTCAAAGAAAAGAAATGGGTAATGAGCTGATGTCAGTAATGAAATGATGTCAGTAATGAAATGATGTCAGTACATCATAGTGTGATAGGGTAGGATATTGTCAACAAAGCGGGGTATGGGGATCTGTCTGTGATGGTCATGGAGGCCATCTCTGAAGAGGTGTTGTTTGAGCTAAGATGGGGAGGAGGAGAAGCCGGGGACGGAAGAGGACGAGGAGGTATTGGAGGGAGCCAGAAGACCCAATAAGCAGTTGACACGTTTGAAAAGCAAAAGGAGAGAAGGATGGAAGGAGCATCAAGAAGGACCTTGAGCAAAAGGAGACAGTGGGGGGTGGGCAAGGCCAGGCTGCACAGGCTGACTGCGTGGCCACAGACAGGTTTCATTCCACCAACACAGCCCTCTGATGGGGAAGTCGTCAGAGCACTAAAGGATTGACACCATGTAGCTGTCCTCCAAGCCCCTGGTGATGTTCCCGGTCTTCTGGGGATGGGGCCTAACTGAGAGAGGCTGGCAAGAACATGAAAGGCCTGGCTTCCCTAGGGGAAAGGGCAGGGAGCTAGTTAAAGGCCAAGGCTGATGGGAGAGCTGGAGAGCAGAGACTCACCCTCAGGCACCCATTCAGTGCTGTATCTTGGCCCCTCATGTAGTGGAAGCTGAAGGCAGAGGCTGTGTCCAGGGCAAATGTCTGTGTGTCCTCATATGACCCCTTCAGCACAAGCTCCAGCTCTAGTTTGTCCTGACCTAGGGAAGAGATGGAATAGGTGAGAAGAAGGGGAAAAAGAGCCCAGAACTCCTCCATCTTGGACCTCGGATTCTAGCGATGGTGCTTATTTGTAGAGGTGGAGGCTGGACCACAGTAGGCCCGACTCTAAAGAGGGTCTGCCCCAGCCTGCTGCGTGTCACAGCCCCATGGGACCCCCACCTGTGGAGAGACGCCCCCTTACCCTGCAGGTTTCCCTGCAGCCTATGCGCCCCGTGGTCCAGGCAGAGTTCAGAAGTCCTCACCTGCTGCTGTGGTGGTGCTCCCAGCTCTGTCCAGACAGACATCCAGGCGTGACAGTTCTCGGGCCTGGGACAGACCACATCATAGGCAAGGGATCCACAGGGTAAGCTGAGGTCCCCGCTACCTCAACTCTGGGTCCCACTGAGCCTCAACCAAACCCACCGCACACAGAACAAGGGGTTCTGAATGGACTGCACAGGAAACCCTTCACCCATCTCTGACCTGC